ACAGCAGCGACGGAGGCTGCGCTCGCCCCACTCGGCGACGTAACCGAACTCCGCGACGGTGGGACGGCCGGCGGGAGTCAGCCGGCGGCTGCGACGAGGAACAGGACACAAGGGAAGAGGGGCGGGGCGTGGTCCAGCCTCACGCTGGAGGCTGGTGTGCGGGCGGCAGATGTGGTGGCGGCAGGTGTGGCGGCGCCACGCACGTCAGGGCGCTGGCCGCAGTACGGGCACACGGCGGGAAGGTAGAACGGCGGAGCCGCCACGTCAGGGCGGCAAGCCCAGCATGGCTGCTCGACGTGGCAGCCATGCGACGAGGCCGCCACGGCACCTGGACATGGCCGCCACGGCTAAGTGTCGAGGTCGCCATGGCAGCGCGGCGAGGGACGGCGGCGGCCCGAAAATGGCGATAGAAAGGTGCGGCGGAAGGGTGAGGAGCAGGCCCGCTAGGAGCGAACCGCTCTGAAACCATGTTAAAGTGAGAACTGAATACTAGGCGGCCATGGAATACGAGAGGAAGGTTTAGCTAGGGGGAGAAGATACGAGAGGAAAAGGTGATTGAACTAGAAGAGAATCAGGTACAAGAAGGGGAGTTATCCCCTCTACAGTAGGATGCAATAGCACAAATACCAAGCCTACAGTTATATAAAATATAATCTTAACAAAGATATTGGAAATATCTCAAGGACTTAAGCATTTCTGAAGTGTAACACCACACTCGAGGAAGATCGTAACGAGTACGCGAGTCAACGGAGGTTACACGAGGGGATGGACAAAGAACACGAAAGGACTCGAAGGATCGCAACCGGAGGTTGCGACTGACCGTTACAACTGCAAGAATGGTAACCGAAGCGACAATCGAGTCGCTGTGCGACTCGATAAACCGCCATTCAACTGTATTCTACAACTGCTTGTTTTCTACTTTCTATATATTGCTGTATGCTTGTTCACTTTAATCAATCACTTGTTCTCATATACTAGTACAAGGGTTCAACTACTCAACTTCCGCTGCACTACTCAAGTCTCATTCTTCAACTGGGACTTAGTCTGTGGAAAGATCCTAAGGGCTTTTCTCAGCCCAACATGGTATCAGAGCCGGTCAGAGACCAAACTCCCAGCAACTACGCTCTATCTACAATCTGCACACCAACGACTTCATTGATTACAAGTTATGGACAGCAAGGGCAAGAAAATCTCTACGGGCTCACCCAACGCCCAAGACACTCAACCCGGCAATTCTGGATTGCACACTTCAGGACTGCAAACCGAGACCGGCGCTGCTCAAGAAACAACAGGAAGAGCACCGGAAATGGTGACCCCATCACCCTCTTCAAGCGTGGATCCGAACCTTATGGAAAGGTTCTTCAGCTTCATGTCGCACTTCGACCAGCAGCAGCAGACAAGGACACCTGCGCACTCAACACAGAGCAACGGAGGAAACATGGGATTAGCGCCGATGAGCCTCGACAACTCATCGTTCGGGCGACATAATCAAGCGCCTACCTTTGCGCCTTATCACTCTTCACCGGGGACGTTCGAGTTCATGCCGCCCCGTGCCCAACCAACAGCAGCTGCATCACAACAAACACCAAACGAGATACTTAGTCTCCAGGCGCAGTTTTCACACGTGATCAAACTGCAGACATCCTCATCGTTCAACGGACACGACTTCTTTACCTGGAGCTTTGAGTTCGAGATGCTGATGGAGGCTGCGCATCTCTTGGGATACTTCAACGGGTCCCTACCATTCCCAAGCAACGGCACTGGAAAGGAGCAAGAATGTTTTACGTATCAGTCGCTGCTGGCGTACACAGTTCTCCTGCGGAACCTGTCACCACAAGAACAACACAGCATCAGAACGTATCGGAGCTACGGAAACTCCGCGAAACTCGCATGACATCACCTCAAGTGTCTCTATCAAGCAAACAACAGCGTGACACAAAGCAAAGTCCCGCCACGGTCGTCGCGTTCTTCTCCAACACCAACATGTACCAACGCTCGCCCGGCCATCGCGCTTCCGACGACATCTGGCACCAACGCCTTGGGCATCCTGCAAACAGCACGGTACTACAAACCATCAAAGCCGAAGTGTTAGAACGAAACGCTCTTCTTACAACAAGCGGTCAAGAACTTCGACGACCTCGCGCACGGTGCTTCACGTGCCCCGAAGCAGATCTTCCCCACCAACGTTTTCCATCACATCACAATCCGAGTGCACCTGCATACGCACCGATGGAAAAAGTTTACAGCGACATCTTGAACATGCCTCGAGACGACACTGAAGCCGACTTCAACTATGTCATCACGTTCATCGATGCAGCAACAAGATATGTTTGGCACTACAACCTCAAAACGCGAGACCAAGCCTTCGAAGCCTTCACGACATGGCTCCCCATCGCTGAACGAGAATCAGGAACTAAGCTCAAGAGTTTCCAATCCGACGGCGCACTGGAATACCAGTCACAACGATTCAGGACCTACTTGGCGGAAAGAGGAATCAGACGCCTGGTGTCTCTACCCTACGCTCACCAGCAACAGGGGGTCGCTGAAAAAATGAACCGGACCTTGCAGACGACGATGCGGAAGCTGCTCCTGGGGATGAGACTGCCCAACGCACTGTGGCCAGACGCGATGACCCATGCAGTCCACCTGCACAACTTGCTATCCTCGTCATCGCTTCCCAACAACGCATCACCGCACCTGCTGTGGACACAAAAAAGGGGCAGCACAAAATTACTTCGGGTTTTCGGCTGCATGGTACAGTACAAACCCCATACAGCCAGAGTAGGACGCTTCACTCAACGAGCACGATGGGGACTACACCTCGGCATCGCAAAACATTTTCAAGCATGGAAAATCCTCGAGATACAAGACAAAAATACCGTGGCATCACGTGATGTGATCTTCTACGAACGACTGACGCTGCAGCATTACCTGGACAACATCGCCAACACAGACGACCCCACCGACGGTGTCGCAGGCATTCGCTCCTTCGCTGACCGTGCTGCCGAGGCTGACGCAGCAGAAGAAGACGTACCCGGAGCTTCGGAAGCTGCCGGACCACTCCCCTACTGCTCCGTACCAGTTCCACTCGACGCAGACAATCCTCTCGATAGCAACAACCTCGACACCTTTTACCACTTCGCTGACCAAGGTTACGTTACACCTCACCCGGTCGACACGAATGTCTCAGAACGCATCGGCCCAAACTTCTTACCTGATCCAGAAGATGGTGACGAAGCAGCCTATTCCGGGAATGAAAATTCCCCTCGACACACACCCACGGGACTGCAAATCCTCGGCTTATGGGTCTCCGTCCAGCATCCGCCGCCGCCATCTCCGCGCGAGCCCACAACTCTGTCGCAGGCTCTGGGGGGGGAACATAAGGCGAAATGGAAGGAGGCGATGGAAAAGGAACTAAAAGCTCTGCAAGACCGAAATACATGGAAGTTGGTACCTGCAACGAACGTCAACGGGAAGAACGTTCTCTCGGGAAAGTGGGTGTACCGTATTAAGACCAACGCGGACGGTTCCATCGAACGATTCAAAGCTCGATGGGTCGTACGAGGCTTCGATCAACGATATGGAACCGACTACACAGAAACATTTGCCCCAGTCTCCCGTCACACCTCCTTGCGCATCCTACTCGCCGTCGCGGCCACGAATAAACTACCACTGCGCCAAATCGACGTCGCAAATGCTTTCCTGTACGCACCTGTGGACGCCGAGATCTTTGTCGAGCAGCCCCACGGATTCATCGACGACCCTACAAAAGTATGCCAGCTGATAAAATCCCTTTACGGGATCAAGCAAGCCCCGCGGCTTTGGCAGCAGCATCTTCACGGTCGCCTCGTCAGAATCGGATTCCTACAGCTGCCGCATGACCAAGGCATGTACCGACTGCAGAAGGGAAGAGAGTATATCCTACTCATCGTTTACGTCGACGACCTGCTCTACATCGGTTCCACTACCGACATCGCCACCTGGTTCGAAGGGGAGCTGAAAGGGGACTTGACACTCACGGTGTCCGACACAGTGACCCAGTACCTGGGTCTGAATATCGTCGAAGACAACTCGGCGTTCTACCTATACGCTGGGAAGTACGCAGGCGTTGTCGCAAAGAAGTTCGGACTAACACCAACTACAGTCGCGACTCCCTACCGCTACGGGAACAACAACGACACCTCCGCAAAACTCCCCGCGAAGCAAATCCAGGAGTATCAGCAGAAGCTCGGCTGCCTACTATTCGCAGCAGTAACCTGCCGACCTGACCTATCCTACAGCGCAAGCCAGCTGGCGACGCATCTGAAGCAGCCGGAACAAGAAGATCTCGAAGAACTAAACCGGGCACTACTCTACTTCGTCTCTACGCCGACGATTGGACTCACCTACAGCAAAGTAACAACACCATCCGTACAACTACTCGGATACGTCGACGCCGACCACGCGGGAGACAGGGAAAATCAGCGATCGCGAACGGGCTACATCTACCGATTAGAACCTATCGGGACTATCTCCTGGCAGTCGAGCAAGCAGGAACTAATCGCACTATCTTCGGCTAAAGCATAATATATCGCCCTCTGTACCGCGACCAAGGAAGGACTCTACCTACGAGAGTTGCTCGAGGAAGCAAAGATTGCGACCCTGCCCGTCTTCTCACTCCTCTGCGACAACCAATCTGCGATCAAAATCGCGAACAAGGACGGCTTCGCCAACCGAACCAAGCACATTGCCCTGCGGTACTTTTTCGTCAAAGATGAAATCGCGAAGGGGAGACTTCAACTCAGTTACTGCCCTACAACAGAAATGGCCGCAGACTACATGACGAAGAAACTGGCGAAGGCGAAGTTCGATTACTGCATGTTGCTAACCGGGCAGACAAACGTCACCGGATCTGAACACGTCAGCACTCCAGAAACGAAAGGGAGTGTTGGAAATATCTCAAGGACTTAAGCATTTCTGAAGTGTAACACCACACTCGAGGAAGATCGTAACGAGTACGCGAGTCAACGGAGGTTACACGAGGGGATGGACAAAGAACACGAAAGGACTCGAAGGATCGCAACCGGAGGTTGCGACTGACCGTTACAACTGCAAGAATGGTAACCGAAGCGACAATCGAGTCGCTGTGCGACTCGATAAACCGCCATTCAACTGTATTCTACAACTTCTTGTTTTCTCCTTTCTATATATTGCTGTATGCTTGTTCACTTTAATCAATCACTTGTTCTCATATACTAGTACAAGGGTTCAACTACTCAACTTCCGCTGCACTACTCAAGTCTCATTCTTCAACTAGGACTTAGTCTCTGGAAAGATCCTAAGGGGTTTTCTCAGCCCAACAAAAGAGGCCATGGGATCACACTCTAAGATGGGTGTAGTATAGCTGACTTGAATTTTTTGTCAGTGCATGTTGCATAACACGTAGTGGATTGTAGGTTGCGCAGAAGAAAAGATCTACTCCTGCAAGCATCATGTCCACTACACCTTTTCTCAATGGTACCATTTGTACCGTATGAGTTGGAATGTGCTTCACTTAGCTTATGAAGATTATAATTTTCATTGTCAAAAGAGGGTACGCTTTGTTCATTACAAGTAATGTGGTTGTGCTTGAAACGGCCGTAAGAACCCAAAGCCCTCAAACGCGAGGTTTAAACCCTGGCACTTGAAGGATCCTGCTATTTCTGTCAGAATGTCAAACGCTTTAACCCCAGAATGAGTTCATTTTTTGACACTGACAGCCTAGGCGAACTATGCTTGTTACCGGCAGCGCCTGGTAGGCTGTGCCTTGAGCACCAACTTTTCGCGCCATGCCGCGTCAGAAGGGTCGAACAGAGACCGGGAGCTCTCCAGGCAGGTCTCAGCTGCGGAAAGCTGGCGCAAATGATCGCACGCGGAGCCCTGCTCCAGTTAGGGGCGGGCGCGGCGGCGCAAGGGGTGCGGGTGCCGTAAGGGGAGGAAGAGGCCGCGGTGGCGGAAGAGGAAGAGGTGGCGGACGAGGCGGAGATAGCGGAAGAGGGCGCGGAAGGGAAGGGTACGGCGGCAGAGGGCGGGGAAATGGCGCGCCATGGGGACGGGGGAGGGGACGCGCTGGCGGAAGGGGAGGCGGACGGGGCAGAGGCTGGCGCGATGCTGCAGGGGAGGAGGATGATTCGGATGGGGAGGATGACGCGGAGGGGGAGAAGGAGGACGAGGAGGAGGAGGAAGGAGGCGTGCGACGTGAGAAGGTCTCGTTAAAGCCGCAGATCCGCTCCATCAAACGGCTGCTGGCCAAGGTCAGATCAGTGGACTGTATGAGTCGACGCCCGTACGAGTCGACGCCCGTACGAGTCAACGCCCGTACGAGTCGACGTACGCGAAGATCCCCTCGTCCGCTGTTCGCAGATGCTTGGCACCTTCGGCAAACCCTAAACCCGGCGCTCGATTTCTTTGCAAGGCCCAGCTGGAGCAGGATTTAGGGGTTACAGATGCCGTCCACACTTGTCGATAAACCCGAAGCCCCGGTCGTCCGTCCACACTTGTCGATAAACTCTAAACCCCGGTCGTCCGTCGACACTTGTCGATAAACTCTAAACCCTGGTCGTCCGTCCACACTCGTCGATAAACTCTAAACCCCGGTCGTCCGTCCACACTTGTCGATAAACTCTAAACCCCTATCGTCTGTCGACACTTATCACTTCGCCCCGTGGTCCAGTTGCTGCAGCAGGAGGCGAAGCGAGCAGATCTGCAGTGCCCAGGGGACGAAGGACGAGGAGCGCGTGCGACTGTCTGCCCACTCTTTCCTTCCGCCTCCACTCCGCCCTGCCCCGGTCACTTACCTCCCTGCGCCGTTTCCCCAATTCTTGCTCCGCCTATCCCTATTCCCCTTTCCCCCCCCCCCCCCCCCCCCCACCACCACCACATCCTCCTTCCCGCCTCCCCCGCAGGTGGATCTCCCCCCCGAGGTGCGGCAGCAGCAGGAGGCGAAGCTGGCGGAGCTGCAGCGGCGGGACGAGGAGCGCGTGCGCGCGGAGAAGAGGGCCGCGCTCGCCAGGAAGCTGGGGCAGAAGTATCGCCTGGGGCGCTTCTACGGTGCGCGGAGTGGGGAGGGGGGGGAAGGGTAGAGGAAGGCGCTAGTCCAGAGCGGGAGAGCCTAGAAGGGCGAGTCTAGAGCGAGGGAGTTCACGCGGTTATGTGGACTTGCTCACTGTGGGTGGTGAGAGCTGGGCTGGAGCCTAGGGCAATTCTACAGTGCACAGGAAAGGGGGAAAAGGGGCCAGGGGGGTTAGTGAACCTGGACCTGCAAGCAGCGAAGAGAGCGATTGGGTCTGGATAATTCTGATACACCAAAGCTGGTTAGGGCATCCTCTCTTTCTCTCTCACTGCCGCTCTCTCCCCCCTCCCACCCCCTTCCTCTTCCCCTCTCCCCCCACCACCCCTCCCCCTCATTCTCACCCCCCTCTGCCCCTCAATTTCTCTTTTTCTACGCTGAACTACCATCGACTTCTCTGCTTTGGACCCTACGTCCCAACGTCCCTATGTCCCTATATCCCTACGTGCCTATGTCCCTACGTGCCTATGTCCCTACGTGCCTATGTCCCTACGTGCCTATGTCCCTACGTGCCTATGTCCCTACGTGCCTATGTCCCTACGTGCCTATGGCCCTACGTGCCTATGGCCCTACGTGCCTATGGCCCTACGTGCCTATGGCCCTACGTGCCTATGGCCCTACGTGCCTATGTCCCTACGTGCCTATGTCCCTACGTGCCTATGTCCCTACGTGCCTATGTCCCTACGTGCATCCGTCCCTGTGTACCTATGCCCCCATGCCTCTATTCCTATTCGCCTCTGGTACGTTATGCGCCCACTTTCTTCCCTCCTCTCTCCAATACCCAAACTCAACCATTTTCTCCACCCTCCCACTCCCCCGCCCTCCCGTTTCCCCGCTCCCCTCCCCTCTTCCCTCTCCCACCTCCCCTTCCTCCTCCGCACTCCCCTACCTCAGACCGTGTGCGCATTTTGCGGCGGATAAAGCAGCTGGAGAGACGGCTGGAGGAGATTGACCGAGAAGAGGAGGGTGGAGGAGGGGAGGAGCGTACTGCGGAGAAGGGAGGGGGAGATAAGAGCGGGGAGGTGGAGGAAGAGGAAGAGGAGGGAGAGGAGGGAGAGGAGGTGGGCGAGGGAACAGAGGAAGCCTCGGGAGGGGGAGAGCGCGAGGAAGGCGAGAGGATTAAGGAAGGCGAGGAAGGAGAGGAAGCGGAGGTAGCCAAAGAAGAAGGGGAACGGGAGGAGTACGAGGGGGGCACGGACGACGACGAGGAGGAGGAGGGCGAGGGGGGGGAGGGGCATGGGACGCACGAGGGCGAGAGGGCACGGAGGGAGCGCGTGGTGCTGAGCGACTGCAGAGCCATGGGGCGAGAGGAGGCACAGAAGGAGCTGCAAGTCTGGAAGGGATACCTGGACTATGTCTTGGTGAGTTGAGGGGGGGGGAAGGGTATGGGACCCGAGAGAGCGAGGGGAGAGCGCGTGGTACTGAGCTGAGTGACTGCCGGGCCATTGGGCGGGAGGAGGCACAGAAGGAGCTAGAGGTCTGGAAGGGGTACCTGGACTATAGGGGGAGCAGGGGGGGGAGAGTGGGTGGGGAAGTGTGTGTGGGAGGGGTGGATACATGGTTGTGTGTTTCCGGTGATTTTTTACCAGGCATTGGCAGTGATGAGCGCAGCAACAAGCGGCTGTGGGGGCAGAGCCAAGCGCTCATGGTGCTGGCGCTGATGGTGCTGATGGCACTGATGGCGCTGATGGCACTGATGGCGCTGATGGCACTGATGGCGCTGATGGCACTGATGGCGCTGATGGCACTGATGGCGCTGATGGCACTGATGGCGCTGATGGCACTGATGGCGCTGATGGCACTGATGGCGCTGATGGCACTGATGGCGCTGATGGCACTGATGGCACTGACACTCATGCTCTGGTGCTGCAGTGATCATTCACAGCTTCTGCCCTGGACGTCCCCCCAATCCCCTGATTCCTCCCCTGACGGATCTCCCACTTCAGCAAGTTACCATCAGTACCCCAAACCAAACCCCACTCCCTCATCCTTCCCCTCCCCATTCCCTCCAAACCCCCCACCCACACCCCCCCGCCCCACCAGTACTACCCCCTGTGGCGACACTACGTGTCGGTGGTGGTGAACCACGGGTGTGAGCACAGCAACAAGCGGCTGTGGGGGAAGATCCAGGCGCTCGTGGTGCTGGCGCAGCAGAACAAGCGGGAGGCGGAGGAGAGAAGGCGCCAGGAGGAGGAGGCGATGAGGGAGGAGCGGAAGAGACGGGAGGAGCGGCTTCGAGTTGGTGAGTGGGAGAAGGGGAGAGGGGGGGAAGGGAAAACGTGATGGAGAGGAATGGGAGTGTGAAAGTGGGACGGGGGAAAGGGAGGGAGGGAGCAGGAGAGAGAACGAAAGAGGTCCTGTTTTCGCTTGCATCCGCTTAACTAGTTGAGATCCAGGCGCCGAGCGACATGTGGTGCTGACGCAGCAGAACAAGAGGGAGGCGGAGGAGAGGAGGCGCCAGGAGGAGGAGGCGCAGAGAAGTGAACGGAGGGGACAGGAGGTGCTGCTTCGAGTTGGTGAGTGGGAGAGAGGGAGGGCGGGAGGTGAGGAGGGAGGGGTGGGAGGAGGGGGCAGGGAGGGATGAAGGGAGGGGGAAGGGCGAGATTGAGAATAGGGGGTGAGAGAGTGAGGGGGGTGGGGGGGTGGGGAGGTGTGGGGGAGGGAGGGAGAAAGAGAGCGAAAGAAAAAGAATTCCACGAGCAACCGCTCAACTTGTGCCTGTACGTTGCCCCCCCCCCCCCTCCCCTTCTCCTCCCGCCTCCCATTTCCCCCTCGCCCTCTCCTCCCCCAACGGGCTTCCCCGTTGCCACTTCCTTTTTGTGCGACGGGGAATTTGAGCAAAAGGCTTCGCCACTGAATAAGTCGTCGCAAAGAGTCTTCCTCCCCCCTCCTCCCTCTCCCCCCTCCCTCCCTCTTCCCTTCCCTTCCCCCTTGCAGCATCTCTATTGGACGATGTGGAATTGGAGCAAGGGATTACGGGGAAGAAGAAGGTCGGGGGGAAGAAGGGAGGGGAGAAGAGTGAGAAGGCAGGGAAGGAGAAAGGAGAGAAGGGGAGGGAAGGGGGGGGCGCAGCGACGGGATTGCTGGGCTCTGGTGGAATGAACAAGAAGAAAGTGTTTGTATATGAGGATGAGGAGGAGGATGAGATGGAGGTGGATGAGCAGGAAGCGAGGGGGAGGGAAGAGGAGGGAGAGGAGGAGGGAGAAGTGGAGGATGAGGAGGAAGAGGAGGAAGAAAAGCAGAGCAAGGGTGAAAATATGGACGTATGGAAGAGGAGGATGTTTGGGGACGGGATCTTCAGCGTCAGCAGAAAAGGCGCTGGTAATGACGCGGCTGGGGACGGGGAGGAGGAGGAGGATGGGGAGGATGAGGATGAGGAGGAGGATGAGGAGGAAGCGATGTTGAAGGAATGGGAGAAGTATGACAGGGAGGCGGGTAGTGATGACAGTGATGACTTGGAGGGATGGGAAGACGAGGGAGGGGGAGGGGGCGAGGGTAGTGAGGAGGGTGAGAAGGGGGAGGAGAGAGAGGAAGGGGAAGCGAGTGATGAGAGTGGGGAGGAAGGGCAAGAAGGAGGGTGGGAGAGTGGAGAGGAGGAGGAGGAGGAGGAGGAGGAGGAGGAGGAGGAGGAGGAGGAGGAGGAGGAGGAGATGGAGAAAGAAAGGTATCTCAAAAGGCTGAAGGGAATCGCTGGTGTGTCAAGAAGTGCTGGCAATGGCATGATGGAGGGACGAGAGGCGGAGGGCAAAGCGGACACAGAGGATGAGGATGAGGAGGAGGAGGAGGAGGAGGAGGTTGATGAGGATGGAGGACTGTTTACAGCAGCAGGGAGAGCAGCAGGAGCAGCAGCAGCAGCAGGTGCATGTGGGTGGGACGATGATGACTTCTTCCTCTCCTTGGATGCTGACGCCAAGGGTGCTGCTGCTGCTGCTGCTGCTGCTGCTGCTGATGATGATGGTGATGTTGATGATGATGATGATGATGATGATGATGATGATGATGATGATGATGATGCTGATGCTGATTCTGAGGATGGCGACGCAGGTGGTAGTGATGCAATGGATTATGAGGAAACGAGGAGGGACGTGCAAAGGAGGAGTGGGGAGGGAAGAGAGGGAGTAGGCAGAGGAGGAGGCAGAATGGGAGGGGCGAGTGTGCCAGTAGAAAAGAGAGGAGGGAGAGGAGGAAGAGGAGAGAGAGGAGCAAGTGTAGAGAGCGGAGGGAGAGGAGGGAGAAAAGGGATAGGAGGGACAGGAGAGGGAGGAGGGAGAGGGGAGAGAGGAGGGATAGGGGGGAGAGGGGAGAGAGGAGGAAGGGCTAGTACTGGCACTTTTGGCAGTGCGGGCGCTATGGATGGTAGCATAGCCACGGGAAAGAGAGCAGTGGAGTCAGGACGAGTGCGGGTGCAGCCCCGAGCAGGGACAGGAGCAGGGACAGGAGCAGGGAGGGGAGTGGGTAGGGGAGCCGGGGAGGGCAGTGGGCGGGGAAGAGGAGGGGAGGGTAGAGGAGGCGGCCGTTATGGTTCCCGTGGTGGCAGTGGGGGCCGTGGTGGTACTGGGGGCAGAAGCACTGGGGCTGAAAGGAGCAATGGCGGCGTCAGTACAGACAAGAAGAGCAGAGGTATTGGGGGTACGGATCGAGGACGGGGAAGAGGTGCAGCAGCTTCAGCAACTGGTGCCGGTGCTGGTGTTGTTGGTGCTGGTGGTGGCGCTGGTGGTGGTTCCTGTGCGGGTGGTGTTGGTGGTGGTGGTGGTGGTAGTGGTGGGGGAGCGAAGGTATTGCTACCAGCCAAGGGGTCGACACGGCTCGTGGAAGGCATGGAAGGGGAGCGGATGAAGAGGAAGAGAAAGAGGCAGAAGAAGTAGGGAAAGGAGAGGTACTGGTGGTAGGTAGGTAGTACTGGTAGTGGAGGCCAGGGGGTGGGAGCTGCTGCACTGTGGCTTGTAGTGTAGGGTCATGGCGTGAGCAAAATTCAGGTGGAGATTGTAATGGGATTGAGATTGATGTACTACCAGTACCTAGCTTTTTTTCACTACGGGCATGTGAAGTTATGTGCTACACTCTAGCTAATGCACTGTGGTTTTATTATACCCTTTTTGCTATTGGTCATTTGTTCCATTTAGGGTGATTCCTACTTAGTGCGTTCAGTACCAGGAAACTAAACTTCGCGAACTACCGAATTGAACCGCACAGGAATTCGCGCTTCGACCCTTGGACCTCACTGTTTCGTGTTTCAGACCCGATTCCGGGTTTGTTGGTACTGAACACTGTCCTGTAGGAATACGCCCTTACTCTTCCGAACACACCCAAATGTCGAGGATCTCTAGGGCAACCCCAGTAGGTCTCTCGACACCCCCCCTTCTCTGGGGTAGGCGGAGGACTCTGGCACTCCTACTGGTGCACACTGGGGTTTGAACCCGAGACCTATGCCTCCAATACCATCTCAGGAGCACAGCCGCTAACCACTGTGCTAAAAGGGCTTGTTTCTTGCAGATCAGCGCGCCCAGAACCCCCCCAAACATAGAGGTGTGTGACCCTCCCGAGGATCTCTAGGGCAACCCAAGTAGGTCTCTCGACCAGGCCCCACGATTGGTTTTAGGGTACCCTGCGCGTCTCTTGCCAGGCACTGCCCCTCATCTAGCCTAGGGGGTGTGTCAAACATATATTGATGTGTTATAGGCTAGATAGGTGCAGTCCTATCGAGAGTACAACCCCTTAGACGAAACTCCCTTGTACCTCTCATTCTATTCAATCTGTTACTCTGAGATGGTATCAGGCTAGTAGGTTAGGATCCCGCCCACCCCCACTTCCGCCCTAGTCCTAGGTGTAGCCCGCTGGCCGCCCGTCGCCCGTAGCCCACTGGCCGCCCGTCGCCCATAGCCCGCTGGCCCCCGTCGCCCGTAGCCTGCTAGCCGCCCGTCGCCCGTAGCCCGCTGGCCCTCGACGCCCGTAGCCCGCTGGCCGCCCGTCGCGCGTAGCCCGCTGGCCGCCCGTCGCCCGTAGCCCGCTGGCCCTCGACGCCCGTAGCCCGCTGGCCGCCCGTCGCGCGTAGCCCGCTGGCCGCCCGTCGCCCGTAGCCCGCTGGCCGCCCGTTGCCCATAGCTTGCTGGCCACCAGCCGCTCGTCACCCGCTGGCCCCTGTTGCCTGTAGTCGGGCCGCTTATCGCCACTGGCTGCCCGTCGCCGCCAGCCCGACCGTCGCCGCTGGACGCTCGTTGCCACTGGTCGCCCGCTGCCGCCAGCTGCCCGTAGCCGCTGGCCGCCTGCCGCCGCCAGCCGCCCTCTGCCGCCAGCCGCCCGTCCCCGCTGGCTGCCCGCTGCCGCCAGCTGCTGCACGTCGCCGCTGGCCGCCCGCTGACACCAGCCGTTTGCCGCTGTTGGCCGCCCGTTGCCGCCAGCCCGCCTGCTGCCACTGGCCCGCCTGTAGCCGCCAGCCGGCCTTGGTTCCTCCTCTGAGCCTGCCCTCCCGCCGGCTGCCTCCACCGCACTCCACCGCAATCCATCGCAATCCACCGTGCTCCACCGCTCTTCACCGCACTCCACCACACTCCACCGGAATCCACCGCACTCCACCTCTCCCCGCCACCCTCCTCCTCCTTTCCTCCTCCCCTTGTCAGCAGCAGTCAGCTGCTGCAGCCGTGGTGATGGCGGACTCTCTGCTCTGCCTGGACGCGGAGGGTCGGGCCGTTGAGTTTGAGGCGTGGCTCGTCGACCTCCGCCGCCAGCTCACCGGGCAGCACCAGGATGGCCACTCCCTGGCCATCCATGTCGACGGTAAGCTCCCTTGCCCCGCCCCGCCTGCTGCCCTCTTTGATGCCCCCACGTCTGTTGAGCGTGAGGCTGTTGTCTATGCTGACCTTGCTTGCGTTGTCTCGGATTCACGCGACACCGTTACTCAGCTTGCCATTAGACACGCCCTCCCCCTGTCTGAGCATCCCCACTTTACCGCGGTAGCGAACGCCAAGGAATACTTAGATGTCATCATCGCGCACTATTCCACCCCCGCCTCCGCCTCTGCCGGCCGCCTAATCCCCCCTATGCTATTCCCTGACCTTGCGTATTTCCCCACTGTCGCTGACCTTGCCACTCACCTCCGCACACTGGAGACTAGCTACCGCGCCGCTAGCATTGAGGCATAGCTCACTGCCTTTGCGCCACCGCTTTGCGGGACCCTTTACCTCATTGCCACGCGCCTGCCTGACCACCTAGCCACTGCTCGCGACCACTTCCTTAGTCAGCACCCAGGTGACCTCACCCTCCCTGCCTTTGTCACCGCCATGTCCGCGATAGAGACCCGCCAACGCACTATCGCTCAGTCTAGCGGTACTGCGCTGGTCCCTATCTTCCAGGGCTTTGCTCCCTCCCGGTGCATTTACTCTGACGTTTCTGCCGCTGTTGCTGAGACAGCCCCTACTGCTCAGACCGCCGCCGCGGCCTCAGTGCAGCAGTGTCAAGGTAAGGGTCGCTGCCCCAAGGGGGGCGTGGTGGGGGGAAGGATGGTGGGGGTGGTGGAGGTGGTGGCGAGGACAGTGGTGCAGACAAAGGGACCAAGGCTAGTGCCCTGGAGCAGCAGCAGCAGCAGTGGTCGCCGTGGGGACCTCCGCCGCCGTGGTGGCCAGTAGGCGCTGGTGGTGGTCGTCGTGGTGGTGGGCGCTCGGTGTCGGGTGGCGGCTCCAGTGTGGCCACCTTCCAGTACCAGCTTCAGACCGGCCCTCGCCCCGGCACCGTCTGCAACCGTCCAAGTCACACGGCCGCCCGCTGCTACCGCCGCCTCGACGACCTCTACCATCTCCGCTTTGGTCCCACCTAGGACCCTCCTGACTGGTACGCCCTGGCCCGCAGCCGTGTGCCTGTCTTTGAGCTTGTCATTGGGACTGATGTGTCAAATTATATATTATATATGTATATAGATATATGTGTGTAGGCATGGTAGGTATGCAACAATTACTGGATCCTACTGTAGAGGGTACAACCCCCCTTTCTTGTACCCCTCTCTCTTCTAGTTCAGCTCTCTTTTCTCTCATCAACTTCTCTCTAGCTAAAACCCCTCGCTCTCTCATGGCTTCCTAGCGCCTACTAAGCTTTTTAACATGGTATTAGAGCAGGCCCTTCTCCTCATGCTCGGGCCTTCTCCTCATGCTTCCGCAGCGTACTCTTTCCCTTCCCGTTACATTCGCGCCGCTCTGGCGGCCTCGCGGCGCTGCCGCGGCGACCTTGTCGATTTTGCGCCGCCGTGGCGGCCACGTCGTGCTACCATGGCGGCCCTGCTGCACTGCCGTGGCAGCCTCAACGCACTGCCTGGGTCATCGTGCCGCCGTGCCGCCTTGTCGTCGTGCTGCCGCCTTGTGGTGGCCTCGCCGCGCCAGTGCACGGACGGCTGCGGCCAGCTCCCTGTCTTAGGCGTCAGCCGTGACGCCCGCGCGCCAGCCATTGTGCCAGCCACGGGCGCCTTGCAGAGCCACGCCCCCTCCCCTGTGTCTCCCCTTATTCGAGCTGCAGCTGATGACTCCATACCCTGTCGTCGTCGGGCCGTGCTACGCCACCAAGTGCCGCAAGCTTCGCAGTCGCCGCCGCCGCCGCCACCGCTGCCGTCGCTGTCGTCGTAGAAGTTGCTGACACCGTTGCTGCCACCCGCCGCCGTTGTCGCCGCTTCACATGAGGAGTAGAAGCCACACCTGCTGCAGGACATGGGGGTGTTGCGTGTGGGGTGGGATTGCGACTACCGAGCCTAGGGGGTGTGTCAAATTATGTATTATATATATATATATTTGTGTAGGCTTGGTAGGTGTGCTACAGTTACTGAATCCTATTGTAGCGGGTACAACACCCTCCTTGTATCCCTCTCTCTTCTAGCCCAACTCTCTTTTCTCTCGTGAACTTCTCTCTACCTAAAACCCCTTGCTCTCTCATCGCTTCCTAGCGCCTACTAAGCTTCCTAACATGGTTTCAGAGCAGGCCCTTCCGCTCGGGCCTTCTCCTCACGCTTTCGCAACGTACTGCACTCTTTCCCTTCCCATAACATTCGCGCCGCCGCGGTGGCCTCGCGGGGCAGCCGCAGCGACCTCGTCGAGCAACCGTGGCGGTCTCGCCGCGCTGCCGCGGCGACCTCGTCGATTTCACGCCGTCGTGGCGGCCACGTCATGCTGCCATGGCGGCCCCATTGCACTGCCGTGGCATCGACGCCACGCCGTGGCGGCATTGTCATGCTGCCCGACTCCTCGCAGCAGAACGGGATCGCTGAGCGACGCATCAATTTGGTCATGGAGGTGGCTTGTACCTCCATGATCCATGTCGGTGCACCCCATTTTCTGTGGCCGTTCACTGTTCGCTACGCCGCTCACTAGCTTAACCTGTGGCCACACTCCATGCGGCCACAGGTTTTGCCGACCCTTCTCCGGACCGGGTTCCCAGGTGATGCATCTGCGTTCCACGTCTGGGGCTGCCTTGCTCACGTTCGTGCCTCTGGAACGGACAAGCTCACTGCGCACATCGTCCCTTGTGTCTTCCTTGGTTTCCCCCTCGACGCGTCTAACTGGAACTTTTACCACCCGCCGTCTCACTGTTTCTTTCACTCACGCGACGTCACTTTCTGACGAGTTTGTCTCCTTCTACACCCGCCTTCCCCAACAAGGTCTCCCGGTTTCCCCGCCCCTGTACCAGGTCCCCACCCCCCCGGTAGCCCCTGCTCCTCTTCCTCCCTGTCCTGCCCTGTCTGATGTGTCTCACGTCACTCCCCTCCCATCGGTTGTCCCGGTCGAGGAGTCAGCTGACTCCAGGGGCCCTGCGGCTTCGATGTCGCCACCTGTCTCCGCCCCAATATCCCCTCCTTCGTCGCCGCCGCAGCAGCCGCCGTCACCGCCGCCGCCGCCACAGCCGCCGCCGGGGTCCGCGAGCTCTGGGGGTGCGGTTGTTCAGGAGGGTGCTAGTCCTGGGGGTACTGTCGTGGCTTGTCCCAGCAGTCGTGGGGGTGGCACCGGTATTGGGGAGGGTTCTCGCTCTGGGGGTGCTGGTTCTTGGGATACTGTCGTGGAGCGTTCCGAAGGTAGCCGTAGTACAGCTGAAGGTTCTGATGTCAACA